CCTTCCTTCCTTCATTTCATTTCATTTCATTTCATTTCATTTCATTTCATTTCATTGCCTGTGAAAAAAATGAAGTAATAACCTGCCAGCCTGCAAAAAGTGGTTGTGATTCTGCACAAGAACAATGTGGCAGGCTTTAAAGAAGCAATAACCGAGCGGTAGCAGACCAAAAGCTAAAAGTCTTGGCTAATTTGAGCTGGAAAAAGGAGGTAGGAAGCCTTCCCCTCCCCATTCCTCAGAACCAACAATAAGGTCAGAATCTGCAGCCAAGCTGAAGGTCCCAGAGGGCCCCTCAATGGTAGTGACAGAGAGGTAGACCTGAAGTACTGGCATCTGGAAATGCCAAGGAACCACCATTTGACCACAGGCAGAAAGGGAGCAGAGAAGAGAAGCTTAGCAGGTAGGAGTGGACAGCAAATATGAAGCTGAAGAGCTCCAGAGTGATTGGTGGAATGATAACAAGGGTGACAAGGGACCAAGTGCTAGACTAAGTATACCAGTAGCTGGCATAAGGGGAGGGCTTAAACTCCAAGTACTATAACCTTAGCTCAATAGCAGTCCACAGCCCTGTTAGTACCAACAGGAAGAAGAAATCAGCCTCTCAACCCTACCACTCAATATCCATAAAATGTTTTTCTCCAAGAGTTCTTGTCTTCCTTCCTACACTCACTACCTTAACAGCTAATATATGGTTGAGCCATACCAAACATTTTATTTTGTACTGTTTGATATATCTTGATGGCTTAATCTTACATACAACTTCTTATGTTAAGCAAATTTAAATAAAATGTGTGTCATCAGGGATCTGCTATGCCTTTACTCATGAAGCTCACTTAGTAACTTTGAACTAGTTACCATCTCTTAGCACACCCTGTTTTGAAAGACTGATCTTGGATGAATAAAATGGGAGGGAGGATATTCTAGATTCTGCCTTGATTTCCTCTAATTAATAAATAAATTTCAAATGTTCCAAATGCTACGCATTGCCAATTATAGACTAGCTTCTGTGCTACTTTAAAGTCCCTTTAGTATTATATCTAAACATTTATTAGGAAATGAAGTCACAATAGCACTAAACATATAAAAGCAGGAGAGAAGATACAGAGTTCCTGTATATTGTGTTCTAATGCTCTGTGTCATTAAACTTTTAATATCAGCACTACAGGACTCAGCAGAAGCCGGTCCTTCTCTATGACACCTCTGGTCATGGAGCAGGAAAGATAATCTCCTGAGTGTAAATAGTATGCTGTTTATTCTGTTTTTATTGCCATCTCAGACCATAAAAGCCTAAATAATGCTGATCAGTAAAGCCCGAATGAACTCTTCCATCTTTCTGGGTCATGCTACTCAATGACTCTGCAAATTCAGTTTGTTACCAAGGTGTTAAACTGTCCATGGTTTTATTTATTAAACAAATGAGTGTGGATGTAATTATAAATATTGTTTGAATCAGGTTGTGGAATATTTTTTTAATTCAAAATCCAGATATTCTCAGGAATAATTTTCAAGGAACACAGTCAGTGGTGAATGGAGGTCATGCCAGATGTGTCCATGACACACACTCTCTCACTCTCTCTCTCTCTCTCTCTCTTCTTAAGCACCCTACCATCTATTGGATGTGGATGGATCACTCTTGCCACAATGGGTTTAAATAATAGTGGCATCTAAATTCTGAACACCTTTAGTTGGGAATTTAAGTGGAACTTACTTCTAAGAAGTGCTTTATAGGATTATAGCTTACTCTAGCCATAGTAAGAAGTAAGTCTTATTTGAACCAACCGATGCTTTTCTATGTAATATGTTAGGAATGTGGATGTTATACTAAAAAATTGCGAATTTATATCCACTGTTGATGTAACATATGATGAAACTGGAAATAAAGTAAGGATTCATGCTGCAATAATGTTACTTAGGGATATACAACAAGGACCAAATCTCACATTTCACATACTACTATACACTCATCAAACTAGCATGTGATTCTGAATTGGCCAAGATCATTTAATATGGAATGGAAGAGAGAGAGGGACAGAGGGAGAGAGAGAGAGAGAGAGAACTAGGCATTATTAGAAAAACTGACCAGATATCTTCTCAGTTCATCTCTTAAGTTAAAGTGTCTATTTGACAAACCATACAAAAAAGAGGGTTAATGCACCAATAAGCAAAACAAAATTGGTATGATCTCCCCCAATATAATGTCTATTTACCTGTTTTTCTTCCACATGATTAGTTCATGTGCTTTTCAGCACATATGTTGGCTATTCCTTCACTTTCTTTTCTTACAATTTACTATAGTTATTAGTACCTCAAGATTGAAAATCCTGTTTCCCATACAACTGAGACGTGTGTTAATCCTGATTTCTCATTTCTTCAATTTGTTTCAACTTGTGTCTTTGTTAAATTGATTTTTTTTAAAAGCCTGTGCAAAACATGTATACACAAGTTCATGCACATGTCTATTAATGTACTCCTACACTATGCACCTTTCCTAATGTGCACATTTTGCAAGAATTGTTTATTTAGTAAGCATATATCTTGCCTAATCCTGAAGGTTCTAAGTAGCTTTGAAATATAAACAATAATATAATTAACTGATCAACTGAAGTCTCAAAATTTTAAAAGGCCTGGATAAAAGGATATTTTAAGTTCTGTCCTAGATTATAACAGGATTAGACTGCTCCTAACTCCAGTGTCAGTTATATAATATTGATAATATAAGCCCATCGTATAAAGAGTAAAACGTTCATCTGCATTAAAATACAAAGTGAATGATTTTTTCTTCCCAATCCTTAGTGTCCCTGGTGTCCTCCTTCCAGTGTTTCCAAAATGGAATTAAAACACATTGTGCATGGTTGGATGGAGTAGAGCTAAAGAAACTTGACCTGACTGACTCACTATAGCAAGACACTTTAAGCAAGAATCAGGAAATAAAGTACTCAGGAGCAGATGTTTAACATGGCAAAAGTGAGCCACAGGATACAAGATACAGAATACAAATTCTATTGTCACAGAATTATTTATTAGACAACAGGCAGT